AGTCTGAGTATTTCTTTCTTGGATTTTGAAAGGAGCACATACTGACACAATACTTGCTTGGATAACTGATGTACCATTTAAATAATGGCAGAAAGATATATCTGAGTTTGTACGGCAAGGGAAAAAGCCAAGATAATTATAAAATACTTCAAGATACAAAGGAATGAGGAGGACTGTGACTGTGTAATTTGAAATTGTATTTTTCAGCCTGCTGCTTAATTTGGGTGAATGAGTGGGTTTTATTGAGTAATAAAAGAATTTTAGAAGAGCATGCACTGAGATTCAGGTGACATAGTTTTCTATGGTACTATAAAGTTAAATTTAATGTAGATTTTAAGAATCATTATATTACAAGTAACATATTGAGATTATGGAACAAATATAATTTCCGCCTGAAAATGGTTGCAAACGATTAAGGCCTTTATGGGTCTTAGACTCTTAGCATAAGAAACATTTATAGGTAAGAAACGGTATGTAAAGAAAAAATGGTCAACTCATCTAGTAGAGTTGTTAGAATAAAAACACAGAAAATATAAGATGAAATCAAAAGAGCAATTGGTTGCAGAGGATTTAGGTTTTAGTGGTTTTCATATGCATAGTTCAAAAAGAAAGACTGAAGGTAGATAATAGGACATTTGGAATTGAGCAGTAGAAGACAGAATTTGAAGTTGAACTATGTGCACATAGTGAACATGTTAAAATGTATAAACCTTTATTGAAATTTGAAACGGATGAACAAGAAAAAACTGTATGGTAAAATGGGCTAAAAACTTTGAATGTGATATACTGATGGAACAGTGAGAAAAAACATTATATTACAATATTATTATTATTTTCATACAATGAAGTATCATTGGTATATGACTTCAGAAAATTTGTCTAGAATGTATAAAATTAACCAAATTAATGCTGCAAGTTTGGACAACATGAAGGATCATTTTATCATACCCGATGGGCTTGTAGAAAGCCAGAGATTTCTGGGTTCAAATACATACAAGAAGTTAAAATATTAACATTGAAAGCAGAACTTTTCTTGCTGGGATTAATGGACAGCTAATTAGAATACAGTCATAGAAATTTTTATAAATGATTACTGCTGTAAGACTATTATATATGCAGAGATTAAAATAATTTAAAACACCCTTAATGAAGAAATCATTGGTGAAGATGACAAAACTAGCAGAGATGGCAAAATTAACTTGTTTGATAAAAAAAAAAAAACTACATTTATCAGTGACTGCAAACCCCTCATAGACTTTATTAAAGAAAAGAAAAATGAACATGTCATTTATGGGTTTGAAAATTAGAAAGGGTAGCTTCAGGAAAGAAAGAAATTGAAAGTTTAGAGACTTTAGAGACAGAGAGATCAAAATATAAATATATAACTGCTGTCCAGAACAGAAGTCACTTCTTTATAAATATTTATTTTCCTTTTTTCTTTTCTATTCCTTTTCTGTTTTCTTTTTTCACTGTCATTTTTCTTTATCATCTTTATTTTCTTGTATTTTTTTTACTTTGTTAAAAAGTTCTTCAATAAAAAATTAAGCAGTATGTGTATGTGTATCATAGATGAAGTTGGATAATGCTTATACTATCTGTGAAATGCAATGAGATAGGAACTGAAAGACACAAAAATGAATTCAAGACCTGTCTTGAGGGTTAGCAAAGAACAGCAGGCATATTTTTATGTAAAAATGAATTCTGGTCAATGCATTTGAAAAAGATGCTTTAAATGTGCCCAAGCACAAATAAATACCTTCACATTATTAAAGCAGTTACATCTTTCAAAGAACTGTCCTCACTTTTTCAATAGAGGTGTTACCTTGCATGCACTCCAGACAGCTGGTGACAGTTCTGGAAGCAGAGATATGACCCCTACAAAAGATGGACATTTAATTATATACAGCAAATACTTTGCTCACAATGATGCATATTGCAAAATGCCTCTTTTGAATGCTTTACACAGCCCTGAGAATATTAACCATATGCTGGAAGGATGTAAAAAGAAAATGTAATTATGTAAGAAACATGAAGGATGCATAAAGAAATATGCACATCTTTATATAAGAAAGACCCAGTTGAGCCATCTTTGAACAAAGTTTGTACATACAAGGATAAGATAAGGTTGAGGTAGGAATCTCTGCGTTGGCTTCAGGTTTTTGTTCACATGTGGATTCTAGGAACTTATTAGAAGCCATAGTAAGAAAGAGAACATGGGGTCTAGATGAGAATGCAAACTCTTTAATCATTGTTTTTTTATCTGAACAAAAGGATTTTAAGAACAGTAAAATTGTTCTTCCTAAAACATCGTGGAGGCATCATTTAGGATTCCTCTTCAAGTGCACAGCCTTGAAGACAGAACAGAACATACACCAAAATGTGTATATCAGGAGTGTCCAACTTTGGTTTAGGAACTGTGAACTTCAACTCCCTGAATTCTCTAGCCTTCCATGCTTTCTGAGGAATTCTGGGAGTTGAAGTCCACAAGTCTTAAAGTTAACAAGGTTGGAAACCTCTGGTGTAGATGAAGATAGTTGATTGTGAAAAGCTAGTATTTATTATTAATACTAGCTTTTCATAATTAACTATTGTCATCTACACCAGACATTTCCAACCTTGTTAATTCTTTGTTAACTCCCCAAAAATCTAGCATTCCTCTATGTAGGAGGCAAGTATTGCATTGATTAATTTGTTTCATTTTCCTTCTTTGACAGGATCAGAAGACGGTATGGCCCCTATCCCAATACCCAGGGGAGTTCCTGCACCCTGTGGTTTATGCATGTACTGCGGTCATGTTATTGTGCCTCTTTGCTTCAATTATCACCTATATTGTGCATCACGGGTAAGAAGAGAGATGCAGATTATTAACATTAAGTTCTCTTTTTCCTTTCTTTTGCAACATAAAAAGGTGTGCTAAATATTATACTTCTCTCCCCTTACCCAATCAATTTTTGGAAGAGATTTGGTAAACAGGATTTCATAACTATATGCAATTTTCCCATTCATCATTTTCATAAACAAGTCCCTTAATCCAGTGCAAAAGAAATATGCATATGGGAAAGACTGAGGACATCAAGGCACTTCAGGTGTCTTTGAGAACATCCAATGTCCATTTGTTTCCACATGGATGTTCTTTTTCTCCTTCCCTCCCTCCCTCTCTCTCTCTTACTCTCTCCCTCTCTCTCTCTACCTGTCTGTCTCTCTCTCTCTCTCTCTCACACACACACACACACACACACATTGAGAAGGAGGGTGGAATGATAGCTGATTCCACCCTCCATTATTGCAAATGCTCTGACCATTCGGAGAAATCTTTTGCTGTTGCAAATAGAGCTGCATTCACCAGTTATATTTGTTATACAAATAATTACATCTGAAATTTCTTCTGCAGTTTGACAGGGCTCAGTGATGGTTTATATAAATTAATATTTCTGTTCTGTTATCTGCCTCTTTTGTCAAAGAAAGTAAACATGGGAAAGATTTCCATGGGTTTTTCTTGGGTATACTTGGATATGAGCTATTTTCACTGTGTCTGGATTTTTTTTTATTCTAAACAATCCAAAAAGTAGCTTTTGCTTTTCTTTCTCTCCAAAATACCATCCCCAGACCACTTTTTTTTTTCAAAAGAAAGTGGTACCATTAGTAGCTGTGATAGTTAGAAGAAGAGAAGTAAGGAGTTAAGTTTTTTTGTCTCTTTACTCTGCTTGCAACATTTCTTATATCCATGCAATCATTCACTTGCATTTAGGTTTACAGTTATCAGTAAGTCAGGCCTGATTTGCTATAAGCCATGACTGATTGGGTTTATGCATTGTCCTAAGACAAAGCATGGTTCAGAGGTTGGAATAGCTGAGCTAACTAAGTAGATTAAGCCAAACTTAACAGGTCAAATGGCAGTTTAGCACAATGTATGGATCTGTTACAGAAATATTTTTCTTTAGTGCAAATCGGGATGATGTTATGATGAGCTCCCATTTGTGATTTTCTGTATAATTTTTTTCAGATTTGCAGACTCTCCATCACATACAAGAATGCCTGAATTTTATAGTTTCACATGAATATAATTTCATGTGATCAAGTAATTGGCTCTGTGACTGATCTACGAAAATATGGATGAAAAGAAACTGATGCTTGATGTATCTAATTTTATCTGCACTTTATCGGTTGCACACTCTTCTCATGCATGAAAGCTCATATACAGGTGAAACTCGAAAAATTAGAATGTCGTGCAAAAGTTCATTTATTTCAGTAATGCAACTTAAAAGGTGAAACTAATATATGAGATAGACTCATTACATGCAAAGCAAGATAGTTCAAGCTGTGATTTGTCATAATTGAGATGATTGTGGCTTACAGCTCATGAAAACCCCAAATCCACAATCTCAGAAAATTAGAATATTACATGCAATCAATAAAACAAGGATTGTACATAGAACAATATCGGACCTCTGAAAAGTATAAGCATGCAGATGTACTCAGTACTTGGTTTGGGCCCCTTTTGCAGCAGTTACTGCCTCAATGCGTCATGGCATGAAAGCTATCAGCCTGTGGCACTGTGAGGTGTTATGGAAGACCAGGATGCTTCAGTGGTGGCCTTCAGCTCTTATGCATTGTTCGGTCTCATGTCTCTCATCTTTCTCTTGGTAATGCCCCATAGATTCTCTATGGGGTTCAGGTCAGGCGAGTTTGCTGGCCAATCAAGCACAGTAATCCCCCGGTCATTGAACCAGGTTTTGGTGCTTTTGGCAGTGTGGGCAGGTGCCAAGTCCTGCTGGAAAATGAAGTCAGCATCCCCATAAAGCTCATCTGCGGAAGGAAGCATGAAGTGCCCCCAAATCTCCTGGTAGATGGCTGCGTTGACCCTGGACTTAATGAAGCACAGTGGACCAACACCAGCAGATGACATGGCTCCCCAAATCAACACAGACTGTGGAAACTTTACACTGGACTTCAAGCATCTTGCAGTGTGTGCCTCTCCATTCTTCCTCCAGACTCTGGGTCCTTGGTTTCCAAATGAGATGCAAAAGTTGCTCTCATCAGAAAAAAGGACTTTGGACCACTGAGTAACAGACCAGTTCTGTTTTTCTTTAGCCCAGGTAAGACAGTTCCCTTGTTGTTTGTTGTTCAGGAGCGGCTTGACAAGAAGAATACAACATTTGAAGCCCATGTCCAGGATCCATCTGTGTGTGGTGGCTCTTGATACACTGACTCCAGCCTCAGTCCACTCCTTGTGAAAGTCCCCAACACTTTTGAATGGCCTTTTTCTGACAATCCTCTCCAGGCTGTGATCTTCTCTGTTGCTTGTGCAACTTTTTCTTCCCCACTCTTCCCGTTCACATAACTTTCTATTAATGTGCTTTGATACAGCACTTTAGGAACATCCAACTTCTTGTGCAATTGCCTTTTGAGGCTTTCCCTCCTTATGGAGGGTGTCAGTGATGGTTTTCTGCACCTGTCAGGTCAGCAGTCTTTCCCATGATTGTGATTCCTACTGAACCAGACTGAGAGACCATTTAAAGGCTCAGGAACCCTATGCAGGTGTTATGGCTTAATTAGCTGATTAGAGTGGGACACTTTGAGCCTAGAATATTGAACCTTTTCACAATATTCTAATTTTCTGAGATTGTGGATTTGGGGTTTTCATGAGCTGTAAGCCATAATCATCTCAATTATGACAAATCACAGCTTGAACTATTTTGCTTTGCATGTAATGAGTCTATCTCATATATTAGTTTCACCTTTTAAGTTGCATTACTGAAATAAACGAACTTTTGCATGATATTCTAATTTTTCAAGTTTCACCTGTATAACATGCGTTTTTTCTAGCTATAAATCTGTTTATTATATATTTCCTCCAGTGGTTTTTGACTTGAATAACATTCAATTCATACATTATCCTAATGGTCTGTGAGCAGTACCTACAATTCTCTTTTCGTTACTCTTAGTATGCCAATGTGATCTGCAAAATATCCTTCTTTCCTCTGCTGTTTAGTCCAGACAACACTATAATCATCCCTCCCCAACCTGGCACATTCCATATCTGTTAGATTGTAATTCACATAACCTTCAGAAGGTGCACCTGGAAGACACGGGTTGGGGAAGGCTGTTATAAAGATTCATCCAATTGGAACTCTTGAGAATATCTTCAGGTTCAGAGCTGCTTAGGCAACCCCACTTCCTGGAGATCCTTGAAGGAAAAGTAGACAGACAGCCATGTTAGTCTATGGGAGCCACAATTCAGGAGAAACCTGATAGCACTTCATCAAACTAGCAATTTTTATTTATGCCTCTTAATAAAATGTTTCCGTCTGAGATATGCTTTCAGACACCTTCTGATTTTTGGAGGAAGGGTGGATCCAAAATGTACTATAGAAATAAATACTGTACAGACTTTCGTGTTAATTAAGCTTCGTGTAGAAATTACTTTTCTTTCATGTAGAAATTACTGGAGAATACAATTGTTATTCTCTAGACAGTGTATTTTTCCAAGAGCTCATTTGCATAACAACCTCTTAAAAGTTGCTTCAAGCTTTGGTTTGTTTATTCATTGAAAAGACTAATGGTATGCTAAAATAACAAAGGCAAAGAACATGAATGGACTAGTTCTTGAAGTCCCTAGTTAAACAAATGATTTACCCTAATTTCCATTGGAGGCATGATCAGACAGGTAAGTTGCAGAGTTTTAACAAATGTCCAGAGGTCAATATAGGGAAGAGTCGGAGTAGTAAATATAGTAATTGTAACAACTGTAATAACAACACAAATCGGGATTCTGCAAATTCTAGAGTACTTTCTTTAGAGAAATAATTCGTATTTAAGCAGAACTGTAATTCTGATTCAGCTCTTTCTGAAACAAGTCAAGCACTAAGGATCCTGAGTTTGAATCCCTGGCTATCTGTTCATTGTTCACCATTTTGTGATGTTATTTGTGAATAAATATGTGACCTTGGGTTTTTCTTGTTTGTTTGTTAACTTTAAATAGCACAATTCGAATCAGCAGAAAAGGTTGGCACATGCTTCTCAACTTCTGTTTCCATACTGCTCTCACTTTTGCTGTTTTTGCTGGTGGAATAAATCGTGTAAAATATCCAGTTATATGTCAAGCGGTGAGTGTACGCTTTACTGTACCATTACCAATGTATTATATGATCATGAAACGAAAGCTGTGAACTTGCACATATTGGTGACCTTAACGTTCTTCCTTTGGATGGATGAATCTTATTTTCAAAATGTAAAAGAAACTGAATAGACTGTTGTCAGAAGCTTCTTGTAGGTGTGGGAAACCTTTAACAGCTCAGTCTGAACCATTTTTTACTTGCAGATAAATCATATTATTTCACTGGGACTTGCATGTACAGATATAGTTCAGGTAGTATCTCAAGTCTACTTACTAATTTTCTTTCTATTGTTACATTATTTTATATAAGTTCTTCTTCTCTCTTTCAAGTGATATTCTTGAGCGCTTCTAAGCCTTTTTTATGTATATTATTAGTATAGCTTATATGCAGATAAGAAAATGTTTAGCTTTCATTTAATGCAAGGCATAGGTTTGGTTATCTTTTTAAAAATAAACACTCTTAAATTAAATGAAGGAGCAGAATGAAAGCTTTGCTGTTGGCTTTCATGGGAATTTTTCAAGATTGTCGCTTCCTTTTTCTCTTAGTAAGCCCAAATGAGGATTTAATGGAGTTAGGGTTGAAAACAGTTTTTGTTTGTCCAAATAGTATCATACTTCAGGAGGGAGGGGGGCAAAATCTTGCATTGTTTTTAACAGATTGGCCAAAACTTAGCAATCAAATCATTTTGAAGATACAACATAATTGTATTAGGATGCAGACAAAGAAACAGTGTGCCCTTGCCTCCTAGCATTTGCAACTTGATGAACAACCCTCAGTTAAAACAGAACCACATCTTCTATACCTGTGATGGCAAACCTATGGCACACGTGCTGCAGGTGGCACGCAAAGCCATTTGTACGAGCACGTGAGCCCCAGCCAAACTTACCTGAATTGCACATGCAGGGGCCTCCCATCTGATTTTCAGCCCATTTGAGGTCTTTTTCGGCATTCCAGAGGCTCAAGGGAAGCTTCTGCAGACTTTGGAGGCCAAAAACAGGTCAGTTTCATCACTTCCTGTATTTACGGAAATACCAGAAGTGACAAAATGGGCCCATTTTTCGGCCTCCAAAGGCTGCAGAGGCTTCCCTCGAGCCTCTGAGACTCCCCAAAAAGGCCTCAAACGGGCCGAAAATCAGACGGGAGGTGATCAGTGTAGGTAAGGGGGTGGCGGGAGGGAATCGTGCACGCATGCGCAGGTGGTGGTGGGGCCATGTGCATTGCCTTCTGGGTGCTGGCATGCGTGCAATTTTCGGCACAGGAGCTCAAAAAGGTTAGCCACCACTGTTCTATACCCTTGACCTGCTACTTTTAAAAGACAAAACAAAGAACAAGGCAGACAGAGCGTAAATCACAGCATAATATTGGAGTGTTTTAGGTAAACCTATCTAGATGACCTCCTTATTATTTACTTCTTCTTATTAGGTCAGTACAGCAGCTATACTATTTTTGAGATATAGTCAATGAATGTGTGTGTACATACATAAATATATATTTATAAGAATATATAAATAATTTTGTTTAAGGGGCCATAGGTTCCTGAGTGACTTCCCCATTACCACTTAGGGTCAATTCAGCTTGCTGGAAATGTTTTTTTTTTTTACAAGGTCATTTGAAGCAGTTCACCTGTATTGAAGTGGGGGAGGAAGGACATCTCATGTAGCTCACATAGTAAGTTTTATTACCATATATCAAAGAAAAGAGTAATTGAAATGACCAAAGTTATATCACCTTCTTATTTAGAAAGTTTAATGCATCAAAACTATTTTTAACATTTGACTCAAGACCTCATGGCATAATTAGAGATTCATAAAATTATGCAGAGTGTGAAAAATGGATGGAGATTTTTTTTTTGTCACAGTGAAACTGACAGAAAATAGATTATGACTAAGTTGGCACAATATTGAATATTGCAATATTGAATTTATTATTAGTGTGAGTTTCACTAGCTAATGCTTCCTCCATGAATTTGGTATTTAAACTATCTACAAGTCATGTTGATCCCGGAATCTACTGTAAACCTTGCTGGTAAAATGCCCACGAAATGTCTAGTTTGTGTAAAACAAAATTGAGAAAAAACCCTTTGTTTGTGTCAAATTTTAGGCTTCCTAATAGAAACAGGCTGCAGAATGTGGAATACAGCCAACCAAGAATGGATGGATCTTTTTGTTGATCCAATAGGTCTCTTTTCGTGTATTTATGTTGAAAATAATTATTAGGAAAATTAATAATTGTGTGGATCTCATTAACACATATTTAATTTATGACGTTTATAACTTGGTATAATTTCACTACTAAGCAACAAGAGTATGTTTTTCTTAGTTTATTAATTAAAACAATACAGCTCGAAAATTACTGGCCCAAATGTTTAAAGACTATAGACAAATTACAACTGAAAGCTATGAGACGCTGTGCTCTTTAGAACTTTTCAAGTTCAGAAAGAAGGAAAGTAAAAAAGAGAAGAAAAGAAAGAAGGAAAGTAAAAAAGAAAGAAGGAAAGTAAAAAAGAAAAAGTAAAAAAAGGGGAAAATGAATACAAAGAGATTTTCTTTGTCTTCATATTATTAGTTACTAGAGCTGAGTTTGTCCATTGTGGCTAAGGGCAGAGAAATTTGGGATGAAAAGAAGAAAGCTCATAGTAACATTCATGTCCATATGGGCGAGCAATGGGTTCCTTCTGAGAAATCTGCAGCTCCAGAGGCTTACATTATCCCTTAGGTTTCCTGCTGAAAGTAAAGCAGAGAATAAACAGAAATGATAGTATATGGGTTGAACATAATTTTAAGAAAATAGAAGAATCCAGAAAAACATCCCATTTCTATCATTCTCCATCCATTGCAGCCTTAGATCTTGATAGCCACAATGACAACAACAACAAGAAGAAGAAATACCTAATGGTTAATAACATAAATTCTGTTCCATAGAATTTGACAGATAATAACATAATCATATGTTTTCCTTTATATAAAGTCTTTAAAATATTGTAAATTAATGTTTTCCCAGATCCGCCTTCCCTATTTTTTAGCTTGTTCCTTGCTTTTTCAGCATCTCAGATCTAAGAATTTACTAAGATTGTAGACAGTGGTTCTGAAATAATGGTCATTAACACTTTCAGCATCTATAGTTCAGGGCTGTCAAACTCAAGGCACAGGCCAGATCTGGCTTGCAATGTGGTCAGATCCAGCCATGGGTCCATCCTGGTCTACCCAGTGCAAAGAGGAAATATCAGACCAGCGTAACTTCGGCCTGGCTACCCAATGTGAAGAGGAAATATGCCAGCAGTTTTGGGAGTAGCATCAAGCTTGCCATGCCCACCCAGTTGGCCATGCCCGGCCAGCCCCCTGAAGTCAACCACAACTGTTCTGACCAAGGCTTCCCGTGACACCAACAAACACACATAAATGTGTGAATTATCGTCATTCACAGCCCGGAATGAGTCTTAACCAATTATAATTATTCCTAGGAACGTCTGCCAAAGTTCTTCGAAAGATGTCTGATAAGAATGCACCTTATCTGACTTGAAGTGCCAATGACTAAAATCCCAATTAATCTTTCCAAAACCAAACAGAGAACAAATTCACCACAGAGCTTTCAGAGTCTAAACCGATCAGAGCGAATGACATTGCTTCCTGCAAATGTTTTCCTGCCTTTGCACTTCCTTATATCTTATGGGAGGGGCAATCACCTCCAAGCCTTACTCCCAAGTCGCCCCTTTTGTCTTAACTGTTTTTGCCTTCTGGCAGCTTTGCGCACCTGCGCACTGGGAACAGGCTCCCCTTGTTTCTCTGCCTCTCTGCTTTGGAGTCAGCACACCACTCCCAGATGGTCCTAGCCCCGTCTTTGTATCGGAGGCAGGACTCTTGTCTGAGCCCTCCTGAGACTCCCGGACCGGTCCCTGATATTCTCCACTGTCCGATTCCGCTGCTATCTGCACAGGCTGCCAGTGAACCACAACAACATCCCTGATGTGGCCCTCAATGAAAATGAGTTTGACACCCCTGCTATTGTTCATCTAGCTTTGGAATCTTGAAATTGGGTAAAAATAGTTATTTATTATCTGCTCCTTTATCCAGATTCCAAATTTATTTTTATATCATTTATTTCCCAACTGAAATATCGTTCACCTTGATGACTAAGGAAAATTGGAATTGAACAGTACCTACAGTATTTCTCCCAGTTTACTTACTTTAATCACGGCTCCCCTATTTCTTTTGCTTTATTTATTTATTCATTCCTTCATTTTCATCTCCAGTGCAAATATCATGCCTTTCTAGTCTCTTGTCTTTTTATATCATCACTATAACTCCCCAAATGCTGGCGAGACTGGGTTACAAGCTAAAAGCAAGGTTACAAGCAAGACAGACTCTGAATCAGGATAGGTAGTCCTCAACTTATGACCACAATTGAGCCCAAAATTGATGTTGCTAATTTAAAAGTTTGTTAAGTGAGTTTTGCCCATTTTATGACTTTTCTTATCACGTGTGTTAACTAAAGCACTGCAGTTGTTAAATTAGTAACACAGTTGTTAAATGATTCTGGTTTTCCCATCGATTTTGCTTGTTAGAAAGTTGCAAAAAGCGATCATAGAACCCCAGGACACGGCAACTGTCATAAATGTGAGTCAGTTGTCAAGCATCCGAATATAAATCACATGACCATGGGAATGCTGCAATGGTCATGAGTGTGAAAAATGGTCCTAAGTCACTTTGTTCAGTGTCGTTGTAATTCCGAACGAGTGCTAAATGAACTGTTTAAGTTGAGGTCTTCCTGTACTAATATAGATCTCCAGGGATATGAAAGTAAAATCTCTAATAACTGAATAGTTGAAATTTAGTTGAATCATCCCTGGGAGATAAGATCTTTCACACAATTTACTCTCCCAAACTACTATAGAAAATGTTCCCATGCACTCTTTAATATTTTCTCTTCATCAATTCTTTAGAGTAGATATAACAACAGTCCCTCAATAAAATCTTTGACTATGTGGAATA